CAGCTCATCACAACATGGACACAATTCGTCTGAACACAATCCCCATTCCGGGAATATTTCGAATTATCTTCCGAATTCTGAAAAGAGAGGTCAGCGCATATGCCCTTCAATGACATATACTCTTTAGACTTTCCACTTATTTTCGGATCTTTTCATAATGTGTTCCTCGAGCAGTTTGTATGACTTTCAACATTACAAATTAAAAACACTCAAAAAAGCTCATTTGCTACGTTAAAACGCTGAACAAGCAACAGTGCCATCTTGCACGCATAAAATGATGCTGTTTGAAAGTCTTGATAATCTGAGAATGATTTACCCAATGGCCATATTAGCAGGAAATTGTAAATGTTGATAACGCAGGAAGTCCAAACGATTTGTTTACAGAAGAATGTCAAAAATCGAAATCTGTTGACTTCGCAATTGAATCGCATTAAAAACTTAGCTGTCCGAAATCGACAAGTATGTGCAGATTCGATCACCAAGATCAACAATACGATAAATCTCATCAACGAACTTCAGGTCATCATTGAACTTTCTCAGTTCTTCCTTGTTAAAATCATATTCAAATCCGACTTGATGGCGTACCAAATTGGCTCGATTGTGGGTAAAGTACAACAATTTAGTTGATGAGATATGTTTTGAACTCTTCAGATGGCCACTCTGTCGGCGCAATCCGAAGAGAAGGACCGATTGAACGTACTGATGAAAGAGAAAGCTGCATTCGATGCGAAATTGAGCACTTCAACGGCAATGCTCCATGACGTGAATAAAGATTTGAAAAGGCAACTTGATCGGGTGAAACAATTGGAAAGTGAATACACAGAAGTGAGCCTAAGCATATATGTTGATCTCTCCAAGTGGATACTTCACATTGGAATTTCATCTGAATGCACACAAGATTATTCCAAAATTTGAAAGCACTCTAACTATTAGTTTCAAAACACTCAAAAACATGCAGCCGTGAACGCCTAAATCTTGTTCATTCAGTGACTCACTTTCGTTTTCTGGTTTTGCTGATAGTACTTGATGTGAAAGAAGATGGCTTGAGAACGAGGAGTTGGCGTTGAGGCAAACTGCAGTTTACGTTTGGTGATCGCCAGATTCTCTAGCATGATTTCAGGCACAAAAAGAAGCAACGCCGAGGGTGGGTGAGATATTCTTTTCGGCAATAGTCGATATTGTCAAATTTGCGCCTCAGTTGTTGTCGAATGTTATGGCACATTTACCTTCCGCGCCGAGCGTTGTAGAGCGAATGCCCTCACCAAAGCCAACGGCAGGAAATAAACAGACAAATGAGCAAGTTGATGAATTGAATGTGAGTTTCTCTTTAGTTCTGGTGATGAAGAACTGAGGTGTTGCTCACATTACGAGCTTCCAAACACACTTCCAAACATCATGCAGCAACGTGCATAAACCCTATTGAACTCAGTCTATAACAGTGTTTCACTAGAACATCGTTGTTCGCATCCAATTCCGTTCTAATAATCCCGGTGCATGAATCACAGTCAAATGAGTCCTTAAGTTATTGAGTGAGTTGTAATTCCTCACATAAATTTCAAATGGAATCATCCTCTCATTTGCATTTTTCCGGCCGAATATTCAAGGA